GGTGCCTCAGCGCCAATCAAGGCAGTGGTTCCAAATTACACATGTAGTTACTTTCACTTCCAAATGGCCATGATAAAACTGTAAATGTTATTAATTTTGTCAAATCTCGACCCTCAAGAAAGTGTTAATATTCTGTGTAAAGAAATGAGAATTATACAAAAAGCATTTCTGGTGCATACTCAAGTACAATGATTGTCTTAAGAAAAAGCACTGGTGTGATTATTTGAGTTGTGAACTGTTCACACTGTTTCAATGGCATACAATTTTTACTGGAAGAGACAATTGAAAAACTATGGTTCTTCACACATTTTTTCCAAAAAAATGAATGAAATGAGCCTGTCATTACAAGGAAAATAATTGACAGTTTGTATTGTAAATGACAAAAGTCATGTTTTCATGTGAAAATTATAATTTTGGGAAACTCATATCCACCCCTATATCTTTACATTCCTAGTACTTAAAGATTCTCTAATGATATCAGTGGGGCTATCAATCAACATAGTTTTGTTGTGTTGTATGATAGGGGTCAACATTTGGAAGCTCTTCACAATTTAGAGAACCAATACTTTCCAAGTGCCTAATGCACAATGGTATAAAATAATGTACATATAAAAGATCCATTCAAAGTATACGATAGACCAAAGGGTTTTAATGTAACAGAGTATAGAAAATTCAATGATATGGTTTCATATTTTATTGTACATTGCAATTAACCTATAAGAAATACCTCTTGTAAAGTTGGTATTGTATCAAAGAAGAATATCTCAAATTTTCTGAAAGTTTATTAAAATATTCCTTCCTTTTCAAACTAAATATCTTTTTAAGGTCAGATTTTCTTTATATACTTTACCCAAAATAATAATCACAACATACTGAATGAAGATGCAGATATGAGAATAAGACTCTCTTAAACCAAATTTTAGAAATGTGCAAAAATGTAAAATAGTGCCACTGTTCTCACTACCTTATTGTATTTCAGAAAGTTATTTTTTATAAAAATATGTTATTCATGTTAACATGTAATAAATTTACTATAATATTTTCATATTACTTAATGAATACTTTAAAATTTGTCCCTGCTTGAATTTCTAATGTGATATTTTCTTTCAATAAATCTATCAATCTATTTATCTATCTATGTTACAGATATCAATAGATATAATCCACATAAACAAAAGTTCTTTGGGTTGTTTAAGCAATTAAACTTTCTCCTTTAAGAGAATGCTATTTATTTCTCCTGGTGCTCATAATGTTTTAATATTACCTTGTACTGAGAAATTTTATATTTAAAATCTGAGGTTTCATAGGATCCCTCTCAGTGAATTTAAACACCAGAGGATCATCAATCTAGAAGTAAAAATCTCTGTTTAATGTCACAAAAATACTAAAAGTCTCTATCACAGTCAGAGAAATTTATACTTCAGTAGAATTTACAGCAGGGGCTGGGAGTACAGTGCATGGTTTAAAAAACATTTCACAATTTTAAATGCTGCTAGAAAAAAGTATTCCAGCCATGTAGTATAACAGAGCATAACTTCTTTTTTATGATGAGCTATATGATAAGCAGTTTTCAAATACCAATGTTTTATTATGTTTACATTCCAGCTCTTTTCCTTACTGTTGATGGTTATGTATCTGTTGGTATATGGAAATGAGGCACACCGAAATCCTGACTAGTATTCTGACTAGTGATATGAAACAGAAATGGGTAGCCACACTGTTATCTTTTACTAAATTATAGTTGGCACATGGACAGAGAGCAATTTGGGCCAATCTTTTTGGCCCTTTTACAACAAAAATTTGCTAACAATTGTCTGATTCTTTTTTTCTTCTTCCCTGCCCCTCCTTTCCCTACCCTCTCCCATGTCTGGAGTTTTAGAATAATGCAAACCATTTTATCTAAATTTTTTTTGGTCAACAGAAATCTCAGACATTTAAATTTGAACCCTATGGGGTTAGCTGTCTTTTTTTTGTTTTTCCTAACTGATTATTTTCAAAAGATACAGTCCTTTAGAAAAGTAAAGTGTGTTGATCTTGCAAGAGTCCTGCAATGAGCAATAAAAATAGATTTATGTTCTGTGATAGCATCATAAGGCTATATCGCTGAAGCCCAGTATAAATTAACCTTATCACCAAGATCCTTTGTTCATTCCTACTTTTCTTCTTTTTTTTTATGGGTAGGAACATTCCTACTTTTCTTGAATGATGAAATGAACTACTATTGTTTCAACATACTCATGGATAAGGAACTCTACACGGTAAACAAGCTTGTTCTTAATGTGTACTTAGAACTGTGGAAATTAAAGAAAAAGAAAGGGTGGGGGAGTGACAGGTTAGCTCAGTTGGTTAGACTGTGGTGCTGATAATACCAAGGTTGCCGGTTCAATCCCTGCATGGGCCATTGTGAGCTGCACCCTCCCCAAAAGAGTCAAAAAGGAGCGAGGGAGGAAGGGAAAGAGGCAGCAAAAAACTAGAATTATAGCCAAATGCCAGGATGGTCTCAGAGTAGCAGCTTTATTTCTACCCTGAAACAATAGTAAGACTTCTGGCATTGGTTATATAAAAATGAGGATGATTTTATAAATAAAGAGCATATTCTTTCACATCAGAATGTCTGGGTTTGAATTTCAGCCCTATCCCTTATCAGTTTCCTTTATCTGAAAAATGGGATAGTAATGGTACCTATCTTACCAGAATTACTGTCAAAATTAAATAAGATAACACATGTAAAGAGTTAGAAGAAGATCTAGCACATTGTAAGTAATCAAGAAATGGTATTTCACTTTTATCATCATTATGTTCCTTAAAGCCTTCATATATAGTCACCTAACACACTGAAATTTATGATTTTTATTTCATAATGACCCTGTAACATTTTTCCTTCTAGGTCCATTAACATTCACTTACTTCCAAAATTTTGTTCTTCTATTTCAACTTGATAGTTTGATTTGGGGTCTAGAAATCTCAGCAAAGAAAAATTTTACCATCCAGTAAAATGGACTAATACTGGAGGTGCCAAAAAATGTATACAGGTGGACACTTTGGTCAATGTTGCTCAAGCAGTAGTTTGCCATAGTCAGAAGTGTCTGGACCACTTTGAGCACCTCTTGTAATTGCAGAAGTCAAACGTGACTTGCATTCATCTTTTGTTATCAGTATATATTGAGTATTACAATTTTAATACAGCTTTCCTTTCTTAAAATGTGTATACATTTTTTTGGTACCCTCTGTATTTATTGGATATCTAAGAGCAGATTATAAAAGAGAAAACATTTGTTTTTTAAAGATTTTATTGGGGAATTGGAGGAGGGGAACAGTGTTGGAGAATCGGGGAAGGGGAACAGACAAGTTGCTGTCCTTTTGTTCTTCAGTCTAGTTGTGGAGGACATCGCTTCACTGGCCCATGTTGGTATTATCATTGC